TATGGATAGATAGCTTTTAAAGGCAGAAAACACTGTTGTTACAAATCATGAAACCCTTGGGAGCACCAACAAATTTTCATACCCACTGTTGCCTTTAAACAGGTACTAGAAGTCTGCTTGTATGAAAGGATTTTTCATAGTTGCTTCTACCTGTGCATGCTCTAGATCAGCTCTGGAAGGTCCCTGATCAACCAGAACAGATCTAGGATAGATGTAATGGGATTAAGGATATGTTCTACCATTGATTTCTACTAGTGAAATTACTGGAATACTTCTTACTTCTGAGTAAATACATATTGGATTCTCTGCATATCTCACATGATATGGCCCACACTGATGCTTACTAGATACTCTATTCATAAAGCTAGTAAATAGTAGTAACTAGACCTTTTTACCTCGACAATATTTTAATAACTGTTAATATCATTTATTGTTTTTAATTCCTACAGCCAGGGGGAATCTGGATTTTATATGTATTATTTATATGTTGCTTGTTTATTATGTTGGAAGCCGTCCCGAGGCTTATGCGAATGGGACGGCATACAAAAACTCCAAATAAATACATACATACATACATACTGCTGCATGTAACGCAAAGCAGAGTAACCAGCCCATCTAACCAGATTTCAGGTGCCTTCTCTTTTGTGATACATAGAATCACCCAGAGATATTGCTGAGAGTGATGTTTTATTATGGTAATATTCCCAAGCAAGTCTGTATTTAATTTCTGTTTAATAGGTTGGCTATTATGTGGCCATAAGGCTTCAGTGATGTGGATGTTTCACTGTATGTTAAAGATAAGTATCTGGAGGGCAGATCTGTTAATACACAGTATGCCGTGTAGATCCATTAATAATCAAGTGCTTGTTAGTGTTTAATTGTTCTTCAGCGCTGGCATGTGGGCAAGAGGCTTTGCTGGGGGAAGAAGGGAAAAAGTTCAAGCGGCTTCTGCTGTCCTCTCTCGCAGGACTGTGTTGCCCACCCTTAGGGCAGCCTGCTGTGACACACGATTGCGGACAGGTTCGGTCTCCTTGGAGGTTGAACTGAAATGCATCAGAGCCAGGATGACTGTGGCTTAGACGAACTCTCAGCTAACCACTTAGAGCGCTTCCTGCCTAGGCCAGCCTGGGTGGATGGTGACAGTTCAGAGCTTGGGAACCCTTCCTTTGCTCAGGAAGCTGCTGCAGACGGCATGGGCGGCTGCTCGCAGGGTGGAAGCTCTCGGTTGATTTTAGTCCAGGCCATTTCAGCGGAGCTCTTGCAGTGAGCTGTGTTGGCTGCCTGGTATCTAGTACTGCCTTGTACACCTGCATCCCAGCACGGCCTGGCACAATGCCCCTGGCTTTTTGCTGCATATTTCCAGGCTCTTAGCATTCTTGTCTTGGCATTCTGAGTGTTGCACTTAAACAAGCAGAGCAGTATTAAGGGAACAGCTTGCTCTCAAAATAGAGCGAGTGGGAGAGGTGAGTGTGGAATGGTGGGATGTACTGGAAGAAACGAATCCTTAAGGAATGGGAGTGCCTCAGATCAAACAGGGAGGATGGAAAGAAGGCAGCGTGGCATTGATTACTGGGGAGAGATGTTGGGTACAAAGAAGGAATGGCCACCTATTTCATGCCATGTGTGAGGCCAGAGATAACTGGCTTGCTGCTATTGAAGACAGACTATGGGAGGAGATGTAGCTTCTTTTTCTAATTCATCTGCGCTTTCTTTATAGCCTTAAAAATAAAGCAATTCCCTCTGTGATGATGGCATCACAGCAGATTTGTACATTTAGTCCAGAGCAACTACATTATCAGCATTCACAAATCACTGTTGCTGATAACACAAACATCTTGACATAGGTAAGCTAATTAACACATGGAGTGTGATATTAAAAAAACAAAAAACCATGCCCATTATCCTGATTCAAGCAGCTGGTGATAAAACTGGACTTTGGATTTCACCTTGCAGCGTAACCCCCACTGCTTCGTGAGTGGTCCCTGTCAGCTCTTAATGTAATTGCCACTCTCTGTGCTTTCTGCATTCCATTTCCCTCTGACTTTCCTGTTTGCCCTTTCTGTCTGTGTGACTCTGCATGCCTGCGTATCTGCAACTTAGGATAACATTTCACGTGCGTGATGAAATGGACTGTAATCCAAGAAACTTACGCCATAATAAATTTGTAAATAAAATCTTTGAAGGTGCCACAATACTAGTTTTGTTCCACGAGACCAAAGTGGGTACTTCTCTGGAAGCAAATACGTTGCACGACTGATGGTTCAGCTGTGCAGTGCTGTGCCTCAGGTTCCTCCCTACAGATGAAGAATGGTAGCACTTCTTAGCATCCTATCTGGTAGCAGGGTGGTGATGGAGGAGCTGATGGGATAAGATCAGAAGAACTCATGCAGCTGCTGGTGAGCGAAGGCACAAAGACGGCTCTGTCTGGGTGAGAGCGGCCTCATTTCCAAAGGGGCCAGCTCCTGTTTACGTGACAGAGCTCCAGGGCAGGCAGAAAGATGTAGCGATCGTGTTGCGTTTATGCCAGTCACATGGCGGTTAAAGGCATTGGTCCCTGAACAGAAAAAGCTACTTCTTGGAGTTTTCCGGCTTGGGGCAAGCTAGGTGGGTTGCACATGGAGCTGCAACTGACCAGATGCCTCTTCACACTGGAGCCCTTACGCCTTCCATGTTGGCAGCAACACACAGCAGAAGGGGCTGGCTTCGCTTTGTGAACAAGGTGGGGTTGCTTGCTGAAGCGCTCAGGATTGGGGCCTCTGGGGCCGGGGGAGCAAAGTGGTCCTGGCAGGCAAAGGGGAGGAGGACCCCAGTCTCCTTCAGTCATCTTCTTGGATTCTTAATGGTGTTGCTGTGGTTGTCATGGCAACTGTTGGGCGGCTCAGTGGCAGGCAATGCTTGTGCTCATCTCCTGTGGAGCTGCACCAGGGATCGATTTAGCATCCTTACCTATTGCAGCGGCAATGAACTGTGCCGCACTTTTCCCACCTGGCCAAATATCAGCAAGGGTCAAGCTGCAGAAGGGCAGACCCCACAATTTAGAGACTAGGGGTTTGGATTTTTGAAAAACAAAAATGGTAAATAGGTGGGTCAAATGCCTCTGACGTTGGGATTTTGCATAAAATCGTCTAAGGTAGCCTTTCCTACTCTGTTCTCCAGATGGGATGGGCTTAATTCCCCGGCTGGAGCACGGCTGCTCTAGGAATTTCTATGACTGTGGTGATGGTGTCCTCCATGGTGGTTTTCTAGGGCACCAGTTTTGTGTTGTGCTTGGAAAGGTGGGGTGACATTGGAATAGGCCTGGGAGGACACAGGCTCAGATTCCCTCACTGAGACCCCTGCAGCCCATCAGTAGCTCTGAGTGTGTGCTACCTCACAGGGCTGTTGAGAGGATAAAATCAGGAGAAGGAACCATGTGCACTGCCTTGAGCTTCTGAGAGAATAGGTGAGGTATAAATGTAATGAATAAATAATTTGATAGCTTCTGCTGTATCTCCCAAACGTGACCTTTTTGTTAAGCAGCAGAACAGTATCCTACAGTCCTGCACAAAAGCTTCAAAATTATGTAGACTTGTGTGGTTACAAACAGAAGCAGCATTAAATGTAAAATTGTGTTTGAAACATAGCATTTATCAGTCTGAGCCTCCCTTGAAAGGGAACTTCTCCTATTGCCTTTATGTTAATCGCCTAATTTCTTCGCAGCAGAGGACAGGCTAGCTAGACTGAACTGCATTCACAATTATTTAAGCCTGTTACACCCAGACTGACACCACCTGCAAATCTGGTCCAGTAAATGCAAATGCTCCTGCAAGCATTTCTCAGGGAGAGTTTATTATAGTAAGACCTTGTGCCAGTTCCAGGTACTCCAGTTTGTGATTAGGTGTGACGGAGGGCTACTTGGGTACCTATATAGGTTGGGGTTGGGGTTGGGGTTAGGCTTTACAGCCAAGGCATGCTGTACTTCCATGCTCTTCTTGCATATTGATTTACTCTTGGTCTGTGGCTTTACTCTTGGTCTCTTCTTGCATATTGGTTTACTCTTGTTTCTCATCCCCTCTTGTGCTTCTGTTCCAAATGCCATGGCCTTCTTTGCTTGAAATACATTATTTTAATTGAAAATGGCCATTTTGGAGTCAGTTTAAATAATACAAATCTGCTCTGCATAATTCAGGCCGACTTCTCATTAAGGTAGCAAACCTACATCTGGGAGACACCACTGCAGAATGGGTCTTGCATCCCACAATGCAGCGCATGGAATAGCTTGAGTTACAGGAAGCCAGATTCTGGCTGGACATCAAGAAAAACTTCCTGCCTTTTAGAGCAGCACAGCAGTGGAACCAGAGACTTTGGGAGGTCGTGGGCTCTCCCACACTGGAGGCATTCAAGAGGCAGTTGGACAGCTGTCTGTCAGGGATGCTTTAATGTGCAGTCCTTGGACAGGAGTTTGGATTCACTGGCCTTATAGGTCTGTTCCAGCTCTCCTATTCTGTAATTCTAAGGCAGATGAAAAGGTAGTGATGGAGAAAACAAAGTGTTAAAAATTTAAACATTTAGTATTTTGCGATATTTTTGGTTTCGTTAAAAGATACTATTAAAAAATGGAAAATTAATATCAGATTTTTTATCATTAATTTTAGTTTCTCAGCTCCAAATTATTGGCCCTTTCTTATGATCTGTGTTCATTTGTCCATTTACATGTTTGCATTATTCCGGATACTGTCTTTCTGTTTATTGTATTATGACAACCTGGGGTTATAAACAGTAAAACTGAGCTGAGAAGAACTTATTGCTCAGCCTTGTTCTGATTGCTGCCACTCTGCTGACCTCAGTGCAAAAACTGGATTTGCTTCATGTTGTGTATGCCCAGTCTAGCTTCCCCCTCTTGGCTCAGTGAGAGGGTGGGAATCTCAAGGTTTAGGAAAGCCTTTTGCCCACTCCTTGGGGACAGCCACGTTCCCATTTCACAGAAAGTCATTTCGTCCTCCCTCTTCTCTTCGCTGCAGAACGTCGTCTCCAAGTATGGTGCGCAGTTCCGTGGAAACTCTCAGCATGATGCCCTGGAGTTCCTGCTGTGGCTGCTGGACCGCATGCACGAAGACCTGTGCTCGGTGTCTCTTAATCAGAAAGTGAGGGTGTCTGGAAAGGTAAGTCTTCCTCCTGGCAAAGAAGACCCTCGCTTACCTTGCAAGATCTCTACTTTCTGTTGAGTCATGTGAAATCTGGAGTGCAGTACACACGGGATGGTAGAAATGTGTAGGGAGCGGCTGTGCCAATTGTCACCCGGCCGTGTCATGTTCATTCCCCATCCAAAGTGACTCGATTAACATGACAGCTTTTACTCCCCATCCTTTGCTTGTGTTCTCTCCTCAAGTTGCTGATAGTTTGTGGATGCCACAAATCCCTGATGCCTCCCCTCGGGGAGGAGAAACTCATAATCCTTCCCTTCCCAGTGCATTTTGTAGAAGACTGGGGTGCTCGTTCGCATGTTATAGAATATAACATATATAATATATAACATATATGTTCTCATGTGTGTTATGTTATGTTACGTTATCCACAGTGCAGCCTGATCCTCGTGGCTCCCTCCCCTCAGCTCCTAGTGTTCAGACTATCACTCTCACACTGGCAAATGGGATCAGTAAGAGATGGTAGACACTGATGGACAGAAAGACATTGAGCTGTTAATCCACTGTATTTATTTTTGGTCTTGTTGCAGAATGAGCTCTGAGATCTGAGCTCTACACAAAGAGCTTTCTCTGTTCTGCTTTTCTACTACATAACCACTTGGTCAGGGGTCCCAAACGCAGCACCCATGGGCGTCTCCAAAGGCACTCGTGAAGGAATTGCAAATGGACACCTGACAAAAGCTTTATCCCCCTCCTCTGCCCATTTTAACATAGGTACCTAGATTGGTATGAAATGTGCAAAAGTTTCTAACAATTTTATATGAACTTCAACAAAAGCAGTCCAAATACGAAGTATCCACTTGAACGTGGCATCCATAGGCCACCTGTTCAAAGGTTGCATCATAGGAGGTTTATTTATCCTCTGTCTGTTGGAACTTAGCAGGTGTGCTTATCTTTCCAAAGACATGATATCAGTCCTTAGGCTGTCAAAAGGGTGCAGAGAATCCATTTGTGCTGACCATTTGTGCTGGAATTTGTGCCGGAACCTGAATTTTCACGAAGCAGATGAATATTTTACAGTTGGATCCTGCTGAGACGCCCTTTAGTCTCTGAGCCCAGATGCTCATGGGCATCTCTGCAGAGTGGGGGGAATGGTGGAGGCGATGGCTGCCTCCCTGCTCCTCCCGCCCTGCACTTCGCCAGGGTAGCGGGCGTACTTCAGAGGGGGAGGGAAGAAAGCTGCACTGGACACAGCGTGTGTCATATGCTGGCCTTTCCAGTCTCCTCACCTCCCGCTGGAATTCCCCATTCCCCCCTTTCCGAGGTTGTGTTCCTGATCTTGGAAAGGCAGCTGGCAGAATTCTTTCCATACCAGCTGCCTGGGGCCTGCAGCCGAAGTTTGGGGACCTCTGCTGTAGGTGGCACTGGGGTATATCAGAACAGTGCAAATGTGCACGTATCTGGATAGGCGTTCTTTTGCTTTTTCAAATAACACTCCATTTTCCCTGCTCTAAAAACACCTGAGAAGGTGCTCTTTAAAAAACAGAAATGAAATCAGAGGATCACCTGTAAAGAACCAATCAGCAAGCATCAGTAAGGTATAAATGGAAATATTTCCTATGAGGAGAGACTGAAAGAACTGGTTATGTTCATCCTTGAGAAGAGAAGACTGAGTGGGGAAATGATATCACTTTATAAGTACCTCAAAGGCTGTCACAAGGAGGAAGGTCAAGATCTCTTCTCACTCATACCAGAGCGTAGGACATGGAATAATCAGCTGATGTTGTGATAAACCAGATTCAGGCTGGATATCAGGAAAAGCTTCCTCACTGTCAGAGCAATGTGACAGTGGAACCAGCTGCCTGGAGAGGCGGTGGGCTCTCCCACACTAGAGACATGCAAGGCAAAACTGGACATTCATCTGAGAGGGATGGTTTAACCTGCAGTCCTGCACTGAGCAGGGGGTTGGACTGGATCGCCTTCTTTGCCCCTTCCAACTCTACTTTTCTATGGGTCTATGAAATGTCTTGTGTGGAAAAGCTAATGTTTATCCATTATCTATAAACTGTGGAATTATCTCTGCCCACGGTTATGAACCCATGATGTGATACAGGTTGGGTTGTGCATATGCTTGTGGTTCTTCTGTTGCAGTGCTTTGCCATGTTTAGAACCTTGAGACATAGTTTGTACGTCATCGAGAATGTGTCTGTACACATGGAGCCAGTGACATGCAGCTGTGTAAGGAGATCAAGGGTGCTACAGAGACTGGGGCAACACATGGACCTCTCCTTTCTTTCCCACACTGTTGGCACATCATGGGCATCTGTCCTTGAGCTGCTCCCCTCTGCCTCCTTCCCCTGCTGTATCCCAGGACCTTGAGTCAAACCACTCTCCCCAGCCTCACTGAGACATTCTTCATTGCGTGAATCTGAATCGGCACCTGGGCTGCAGTTGGTACCCCATGGAAACGCTCGCCCCAACCTGCCATTCCTCTCGCTCCCAACGATTATGATATACTAGCAGGTGGGGGCAGTGGAGATGTTGAGGTTTGCCAGGGTAGCTTTGTCCCCTTTTCCCTGTTGTTCCACTTCTCATTCTTCATCCTAAAGGACCAGTCACAGTCACTGTCTTGCCTCCCTTAGCTGCTTTCTCTCATTAGTGGGTTCCAAAAGATTTGGAACACCTGGGCTGGCTCGACAGCCGACATCTATCCCTTGGATGCGTTTCTGCTCTTTTCTGACTGAAAGAGATGAATGTATGGCTGAGAAAGGCATCACTTCCAAAGCTATGGAGCGTATCAACTAGGCAAGTGAGGCAAAGGAAAGTTTCACAACAAGTAGCACGGGGCAGCTGTGGATCTTCCTAGGGGAGGCAAAAGCTCTGCTCTGCCCACGGGACACCACTTGGTTCTCAGATTGATTTAAACCGCTTGACAATTTTTCAAGGCGTCACTATGACATAGTGTGGGATTGGGGATCTTTTTTGCCAGGTTTATCGCTCCTCATACATGCAAATATGCAATGTTAAGGTGATAATTTCTTTTCCAAAGCACCTGTGGTCTCACTTGCTTTTGTTTTGATGTATTGAAATTAGAGCTGAAAGCTAAGTTTAATTAATCAATTAGAGCGCAGTCTTGTGCATGTCTAAACAGATGTCTGACTTTAGTCGGGCTTCTTTCTAGGTAAGACGGTTTAAGATTTCAGCCTTAATTAAGCAAAGCTTCAGCTGAGGGCCAGCTTTAATCTATGGAAAAAGCACCTTTTTGAGTTCTATTTAAAGGGTTCTTTTGTGGCATTTTGTTTGGTCCTCACGATGTCATTGACTTATGTTTCTTCTGTATTTTTTCTATGAAGCAACCCGGCTTTTTGCTTCTATGGTGTTAGGACCAGGGCAGACGCAACACGGGGCAACTGTGATCAGATCTGCTGCTGTCCTTTTTCCTCAGCTAAAAGCAGCAGATACAGAGGCACGCATGTTTTCTAGCTAGAAGGTTGCATAGTTTATTTATCCAAACTCTCTCACTACTTAGTCAGCTTCCCCTTAGGCTGTTCTACTCCTAATTGTCCCACAGCCTTGTTTGTGATATATTAAGGAAGGGCTGCAATTAGTCAGTTTCCTGCTTCCCTTAATTATTGGTTTTTTTTGCATTGTTCTGTATTCCTTTTGAGTGTCCATATTTTAAGTATCATTTCAATCAAAATTCCATTTAATATCTGCACCAGGGTAGTGCAGGTGAGATTTTGATAAGGACTGTGGGTATTGGAGTTTAATTCAGGCTTCCCCAGTTGTGTGCATTCCTGCTGTTGGACTCCGATTGCCATGAGCCCCAGCCAATATGACCACTGGTCAGGAATGCTGTAACTTGTAGTACAAAGCATTCAGAGGGCATTAGGCTGGGGGAGGCTGGAGTAACAATTTTATCTAGAGCCATGCCTCTGCTTTATACCTCCTACCATCTACTTTAGCTGTGAAGGTGAAGTCATTGCTCACTCTCTGCACTTAGCAGCATCTTGGGAGAGGGCCATAGCAAGTGTGGGTGGGGAGCATGGAAAGGGGGTTAGACACGCCTGATCCAAAATGCCTGCTGGCTTCTTTTAATGAGGAGCAAAAGGCCTTGAGAGTTCTCTCACAAATCCCTCATGACCTCAGATCTAGCCTGGCCTTTGCTTTAATAGTGAATGAAAATATTGAATAAAGCATTTCCTCTTTACAACAAAAGCTGGCTTTCATGTGTAATGTTTTGAAGTTATGCTGTATTGCAAAGTTTAATGCATATGTCATTGGTTAAAAGGCAGGTGATTAATCAGTTGAAAATCCTAGTTCTAATTGGGGCAGGAAGCAAGAAAATAGCTGGCCTCTGGGATCCTCAGGTGTCAGTAAATAGGTTCTTGTGGTGGATTTGCTGACTCTTGGGTCTCTAAGCAAGTGCTGGATTTAACACAGGCACTTGAGGAGGGTGGCCTGTAAAAACAACATAGAGGACCATGCCGTCTCACCCAAGGAATGACCTAGCAGCACAATGCTACAAGGGTCCGGGTGGCCGCTGCCTTTGTGGACCTGGTCCCCAATGCTTCAAATAGATCGTAGCGCTGGGCCCAGCAGGTGACGAGCCGCTCTCTCCTCTCACTGTGTGAATCCTCATCAGAGCAGTACTACTAATCTGTCACTAATTACACTGCCAGGCAGCTTTCCGGAATGGAGTAGCAGCTGCTTTGCTGCTGGCAAAAATAGTAATTAGAAAAGAAGGGAGGAAAAGGTCCTGATGCTACAGAATGCGCCTCTCTGTCTGTGGCTCAGGTGCCGGTGCAGTTCTTAAGACAGCCCAGGGGCTGGGCTAGCCCTGGCGTGGCTCCTACCCACAGGCGAGTTTTGGTGTGAACTGCACTGTGCCTTCGCGTACCGTGTTCACTCTGTATCTGCCAGATGCCTCAGCAGAGCCATGGAGCTGAGCTGCTTGGTAGCCTTGCTCGCCTGTTTCATTCTGCAGCTACAAGTCCTCTTTGACAGGAGCAAGTCTC